ACAGCTCTTTAATATGTAACTTAAATTATTATAAATAACATATTTAATCACACATCATAATTTATCTACACACCAATTTTTCCGACAAGACTTTCTTACATAATATTGAACCATTTTTAGAAGTTAATACTAATAAGAGTGATTAGGAGTTTAAAATTTTAATTATTAGGTGTTGTGCTGCTGATACAATTTCAGCACCAACAAAAAATGTTCCTAGTTGCACCTATGTTTGTAACTATATTCATACCAGTAATATAGGGTATTTATAATTCTAGTATTATTGAGTATTGTTCATTATATGTGTTTATTTAATGTACAATTTAAATACATATTTACAATAAATGTATTGAATTTAAGACCATGTATTTCTGCACTTCATTTGAAACCTTCAGCTATTGCGTTCACATATGACATATCCATATACTAGTTGCCTTTGGTCCAATTTAAAAAAAAAACATATTTTTAGGTAGAGTTTTTTGTTTATTAGCAGCTCTTTGACATATTACATTATAACGATTTTTTATGTCAATAAACAAAATTTTTTAGAATTTTAGCATATTATAGTAATTAGTAGTATATAGTAGCCTAAACACAAACATTAATAATATATTAAACAGCATTTATTTTGGTTTATTTAATTATTATTCACTTAGAACTCCAGATAATGCGTCGTTAATGTGCCACAATATGTTTTGTTAAAATATGGTTTATGTCTGTCTTAATAGTACTCCCCTTGGCCCTTATCTTACAAAACTACCAAGTACTTGGTCAGTGGTGCAACTAAGGGATGCTTAGACCCCTGACTACAATTTAGCCCCCCCCCCTAAAAAAAACAATGTCCCTTATTGATTTAGATATAAGTCTATGGATTCTTTTAAATAGATGGTTTTGTTATGTAGGCTGTATCCCCCACAGAGTTTTAACCCTAGTTGAGCTTATGTATAGGTACTTAGTCGGCAGTTAGTCCTACTATATATTTGTCAATAAAATATACAACCAATTGACAACAACAAGAAATATTATTTTTTAACCACCTTTCTTCCATTGAAAATTCCTGAGTATGCATCTGACCTCTACTGTAATAAAGGATAATTTATTATTTATTCAAACCAAAAATGTATATAATCAAATTTAAAAATTTAAACAAGTTCCCCTAAAGATAAATACAATTTAATTAAAAGTAAAAAATTTTACTATTTACCAACTTGTTTTTATTTTTCAATTGGACGGACAATATTTTACTCTCCCTTGTGCGATTTACGTTTTAACCACTAAAATATAATATGTACACAAGGCCGACTAATAACGAGCGGCGATTAAAGACGTGACTAATACTTAAGACTTAAAACGTGTTAGCATATGATTGTATAGTATTCCAATTTAAACTTATTTAGTGTTTTGAATACTTTCAGAGTATATAACTTTCATATTACATATTTTTTTCATAATATTTTGTTCCGATTTTAAATTTTATATAAGGATTAAATTATCCACAAAACGGAACAAAAAGTCCACCGAGAGGAACAAAATATCCCACTAGGACATTTTGTTCCATTTTAGGATTTTTTGTTCCACCATTAATGTTTTTGAAAGGATCACATTATTCACAAAGAGAAACAAAAAGTCCACCGAGAGGAACAAAATATCCCCGCGGAACAAAATATCCCACTAGGACATTTTGTTCCGTTTTAGGATTTTTTTGTTCCACTTTTAATTGTTAAAGAAAGGAACAAAAAATCCTACTTTATTTTTGTTAAAATATTAAAAAGGATCAAAATGTCTCCAGAGAAGAACAAAAAATCCAAAAAGGGAACAAAATATCTCAAAAGGGAACAAATTATTCCGCGGAACAAAATATCCCAACACCAAAATTTGACGTCTTGTTCGAAAAATTCATTTTCGAAGGGCTGAAATATCTTGAATATTTATATCGACATTAAATGGAATATACATCAGACAAAATATTTTTTTTGGATGTTAACTTATATCTTTAAATTTCAAGAAAAACGATTCTGAGCTAAGACGGTATGTCAGTCTAGGTAAAAAACATACTTTATAACTAAATTATTAAAAAAAATTGACCTATACTAAATTCCAAATTAACCATATCACAATATCCATTTGGTACTTATAACGCATTATGCATCAACAACAAACCCTGATACTATCACAGATATATAATAGGGTACTTTAGAAGTTTTAAGTAACGAAGTGGAACGATGAATGTATTGATTTTACAATGATATGTCTTTTTTTATTTTTTTACTTTTTATTTATTTTTGTGTCTGTCATCACGGTATGGGGCAGTAAAACTTCTTCGATTTTCTTCAACAGTATCTTGTTCGATGGGAAAGTGAATCTAGCTGGTGCATTCGAGAGGTCAAATTTTAAAATTCCCAATAGTTTTTACAAGCGCCGGGATAAACAACATAAAAATTAAGGAAAAAACACAAATGTTTAAGCAAAATCGTTTTTCCAAAAAATCTTTTAATCTTTTTGGATTTTGGTTTTTGACGTAACTCTAAAACAAATGAACGTATATAAATGAAATTTTCACAGGTTGTTTATATTTCCAATTTCTATACATGATAATATTTTCAAAATATTTTGAACTGTTTAGGGACATTTTCAGTTTGACATTTTATTAGTTTTTTTTTCTATGAATGTCAATAAAACTTTATTTGTTAAGTAAAAATACTTGAAAATTTCATAGAAGGCTCCTAGCATATTGTTTCAAAGGCAGATGAAAAATATTAACAATCCTTTGTCACAGTTTTTTTTATAAGCATTTAAAGTTCAAAAATTCACAAAATATGGAAAAATCCCGAAAACTAGCAAATTATTTTGAATTAAGTATTCGTAAAAATTTTTCTTTCTAAATCTAAGATTTTAAAATGTAATACAAGATTCCTTATAAGATAAACTACCTTTATTAAAAAAAAAAGTCTACCAGAATTCGAAATTAAATTTTTATGAGCATTTTAAATTCATATTTTTACAAAATTTGTTATTCACTCGATTTCTCATGTAACGACTTTCTTATTTTGTTGTACTTCAAAAACGAATACTGTAGATACATGAAAATTTCACTGAATGTTTATATTATCAATTTTTATACTTGATAAAATTTTCAAAATATTTTGACTTATTTTGAGCTGTTTACGGACAATTTCATTTTTCAATTTTTTTACTTTTTTTTTCTATGAATATCAATAAAGTTTTATCTGTTGGGCCAAAAAGTGTAAAAATTTAATACAAAACTCCTGATATATTGTTACAATAGCAGTTGAAAAATATTAAAAATACATAGGCACAATTTTTTTTTATAAGCATTTAAAGTTCGAATTTTGACAAAATTTATCATATTTAAAATTTAATAATTATAATTGTATTGATATTTATAGAAAAAAAAAAAAATACTGAAAAATGAAATTGTCCGTAAACAGCTCAAAATTAGTCAAAATATTTTGAAAATTTTATCAAGTATAAGAATTGATGAAATAAACATTCAGTGAAATTTTAATATATCTACAGTTATTCGTTTTTGAATTACAACAAAATAATTAAATCGCTACACGAGAAATCGAGTGAATATCCAATGTTGTAAAATTTGAATTTCAAATGTTCATAAAAATTTAATTTGACTTTCTTATAGATATTTTTTTTTTGATAAAGATAGAGAATCTTATAAGAAATTTTGTATTTCATTTTAAAATCTTAGATTTAAAAAGAAAAAATTTTACAAATTCTTAACTCAAAATAATTCGCTAATTTTCGTGATTTTTTATATATTTTGTCAATATTTGAACTTTAAATGCTTATAAAAAAAAAATTTTCCTATGGATTTTTAATATTTTTCATCTGCTTTTGAAACAATATACTAGGAGCCTTCTATGAAATTTTCAAGCTTTTTTAACCAACAAATAAAATTTTATTGATATTTTTAGAAAAAAAACTAAAAAAAATAGAAAATGAAAATGTCCCTAACAGTTCAAAAATTTTGAAAATGTTATCGTGTATAGGATATACAAATATAAACAACCAGTGAAAATTGCATGTATCTACGGTCATTTTTTTTTTAAAGTTACACCAAAAACCAAATTCAATTTTGTGAAAAATCGATTTTGAGTAAAAATTCTCGTTTTTCCTTAATTTCTCTTTTGTTTTTCTTGGAGTTTTTAAAATTACTGGGAATTTGCACCCAATGCACCAACGATATTCACTTTCCAATCAGACAAGATACTGAAGTTGAAAATCAAAGCATTATTTTGACTACTTATCGTGTACACAGACACAAAAAAAAAAAAAATTAAAAAAAACACACATCATTTTAAAATCAATTCATTCATCCTTCCACTCAGAATCTAAAATATTTATGTAATTGTACCTATATAATATTATTAAACTTTTGTGAAGCATCATATAAAATGGAAATAAAAATATAAAATAGGAAAATAGACAATAGTATATTAAAAATATAATGGTATAATGGTGTAATCGAACATTTGCACCTAATTAGTAAACTAATTAATATATTTAGGCACCTATTTTATCAATTAATTATAAAGAAAAAAATGCATCTAATATAATATTTCATTAAACATAACTAATAAACAATAATAAACTAACTATAGGCAATTTTTCTGGGGCTTATTATTTTCCTATAGCTAGTTCATTTTTTACCTTATTTTTTTTCCGGATCTTTTTCCTGAATACTATTTCTAGGAGTATGATTGAAGAGGCTTAATTGTGGCAGGGTAGTAATAAAGTGTATCGTGTATGTAATTCTAAATATTAAAATAATAACTACGAAATATATAAGGGGGTGTGAAGAGCATACCTCCCCACGTTTACCTATCAAGCACATTTAAGCGTACACACAAAAAAAATTACGTCTTCATCACTGCCTATTCTTACATTGATTATATGTATATATTGTAAAATGTATTAATGTACCCATTAAAGTTCCAACCTGATCCCTTTCGTCATTTTTATTTCAGACTACATCAAGTGAAGCTACATTTGTTTGCTTGTTAGCTGCCAGGACTCAGGCGATCCGTCGGATACAGGAGATAAATCCAGAACTAGAAGATGTAGAAATTAACAGTAGACTAGTGGCTTACTGTTCAGATCAGGTACCTAAATCGTCCTCTAAGGTTATTTCCTTCATTTTAAATCGGAAGCATATTCGACACATATTTTAATAACTTTGACACAGCAGTAGTCGGTGAAAATGTAATTTTTTCAATTAAATTTTACAATTTTGTAATAGTTATTTGTATTTAATTTAAATCGGTAGAAAGATTTCCGGTCAACATTTATATTGACTTAAAACAAATGAAGTGGTGGCATTTTACTGTTGCCCCGGGCTTTATTAAATTGCAATGTGGTGTTTTGGTCAAAGTTTATTTAAATCCAGTATTTGTATGTTATACATACTATATAATATTATTAATATTGTAATAAATTATAATTTCGTCAAGTTATTTAAATAGGTAAATACTATCTATCTAACCTAACATGACGCCAGATCGAACTGGGTAGTAACAATAATTATTTTAAAATATAAGTATTTCACATACCTACACTTACTTGACAACTTAAATTTATTTGTTTACAGGCTCATTCATCAGTGGAAAAAGCTGGTCTCATCGGGCTCGTTAAAATGCGATTTATCGAAAGTGACGATTCCTTATCACTAAGGGGAGCTCAAGTTATGGAAGCTATTGCCACTGATAAAAAACAAAACTTGATACCGTTTTTTGTGAGTATAAGTGTCGAGTGATAACTGATGTGCACAAATAAGTTATGCATGAAATAAATCTAATTGTATATTTGCATGTTGTGTAAATTGTATGTTAAGATAAATAAAGTAGATGGTGAAGATAGATATAGAGAATAGGTATCGTTAGGGATTAACGCCACAAGTACCTATATATATTTATTGTATTATCATTGGGTCTATTATACTCAATACCCAACGGTTTAACGTATTTTTCTTAAATTAAACAATTATAAACTATTGATTAGTTTTATTAGATAATTTATTGAAAAATAAAACAATGTTGGTACACCATAAGGAGCAGTTAATTAAAAATATATCCGCACTGTCACCTCATCGCTTTAGAGGACGCTACACAGATATTAATTGGTGTGTCCGTCTTACAAGTGCATACCATAGACAATTTAAGCACAGCAGATCACGTTTAACTGAGTTAGTTTAAAAATTAGAGTGAATCAACCTATTATTAAACATGATGGTAAGAACATTATCTATGTTTCTATGTAGGTTTTTTACGATATTTCAGTTTTTAAGTGAGTTATTTTTAATTTACGCTATATTATATAAGCATAAATTACTAAAAAAATTAACTATCGTAAAAATCCCACATAAAAACACAGATAATGTACTTTCCATCAAGTTTTTCATAATAGATCAATTCACTCTAATTTTTAAACAAAGGGAGCTAAAGGCGTTCTCCTGAGCGTAAATTTGATAAGTTACACCCTTGTAAGACGAAGACAACAAATGGCGGTGTAGCGTCTTAAACGATATTGTCTATTAAATCTTAAAAACGTATAGTCAATCAACTAACCTAACCACACGGGCACTAAAGATTGTGTAAGGTAGGTACACATAGGTATATTACACATCTAGGTATAAGATGTATTACATCCAATTTACAGCCTTAATAAGCCATATAGTATAAACTTTCAATTGGTTGTGTGTTCTTTACAGCTTTGTGCGACGTTGGGTACAACTGGCGCTTGTGCGTTTGACAAACTTGAAGAACTCGGACCGATATGTAATTATAATTTATAATAAATTAAAATAACGATTTTTGTATATTTTATTTCTAATTGTTGAGAGCTTTTCTGGTTCTCTGGTAATTTGATGTATAATTTATTTCAGGCCACGCGGAAGATATGTGGTTTCATGTCGACGCGGCTTATGCGGGTACAGCGTTCATATGTCCGGAATTTCGTCATTGGCTATCGGGTGTCGCATACGCGGACTCAATTGCGTTCAACCCAAGCAAATGGATGATGGTTCATTTTGATTGCACAGCTATGTGGTAAATGATCTTACAGTGATGACTAGAGTTCAGATTTTGAAAGTTTTTGCTTTTTTTTCTATTGCTCTAAAACGAAGCAAAATGATGTGAAAACATCTTATACAGCGTTCAGATCTTTCCGCTTGGGTAGTCAACATTTTCAAGCGTTATCTTTTTCGTGAAACGCTCGAATGCTCGATACTTATTATATTATTAAAAGGAGAGGCTATTTTTATGACAGTTATATCTAAAGTTCTACTGAACTGATTTGCATAGTTTTTTTTTAAACGCTGGTACCTTGTGTGCAGATGAGCCATCTAAAGAGAAAAGTTCAAAACTTTAATTAATCAGTTATTATAAATATTAAATTTTCCGTGTATACGATATTGATTCGGTATCAAGCACGGTTGTCAGTAGATAGGTAACCGTGGTATCAAGACTACAGCGGCGGCACGAAACAGGGACATAGAGAGTTATATTCGGGAGGTCACATATTACCGTAAATTACCGAATATTACACATATTATGTACCTACGTTAAATACGAGAGAAAAATATTTTGTTTTGACAACCTTCCCCAGTGTCAGTTTGTCACGTATCATATCATATTAAAGTAGATTAATTAAATCTTGAAACGGCAACACAATAGACACGATAATACACAGATATAAATACCGTATTTATATCTGTGCGATAATATTCTCTTACTCTGGAAATTATCCACTCAGAATATTACAGTTTAATTTTTGTTGTAACACAGTAAAATTCGTAATTCTTTCTGATTGTCATTTACAAAAGTGTGTAGTCAATTTTCACCAAAATTAACCCTAAATATTTACAGCATGTATAATTTGCACCAAAATGTTTAAACTGCGTTTTTAATTTGCACCAAAATAAAGATATTTAATATTTTGCTCTCAGATAGTAAGAAATAGAAAATGTAATTTGCACCAAAATTAAAATCAATTATAATAAGATTGGTATTATCGAAATGATAATCGAACAAGTTTTGATAGTAGAGTACTTATAATATATTGAGATATGAGAATCTAAAGTCTCAGAATATTCCTTTTATAGATTCATATATATATATATATATCCATTTATAGATATATTTTACTTATTACGTAGGTCGTAGGTGGTAGGTACCTATTTACACGGTGCTGCGTTACGTTAGTGTAAAATAAATATTATAAAAACATTTGTCAATTAAAGAAATAGTAATTTACACCGTTTTATATTTGGAATTGTAATCACCGGAAATAATGTTTTATTTAAAATAAGTTAACTTACATACTTCTATAGGTAATTCACTATTTTGATGGTACTTACCTACAGGTTATTTGTATTTGTATGCAACTAATTCAATGAATGAAGTTCTTAATATAAATTTGTTGTTATACAGGTCCAAAGCAACTTGAATTTTATTTGTTCGGTTAACTTGTATGCGAAGTTATTCGGTGTCCGGTGAGGTATATTATGTATACTCGATAGTCTTATGTACCTACGGATCAGTCTCTCTTTGTTAAATTTAATATAGTTACAATTAATCAAATAATTGTTAACATTACCAACCATGGTTATGACAAACCAAAACACTGATATATTTATATTCATAGGAAAACCTTTTGTTATTTTTACTATTGATAAAAAAGTGTGTTTTACAAATTAATATGTACAATTAACGAAATGGTTGTTGATTTTACTCACTATCATTATTTCTGCCTAACACAATGAAAGGTAGAAACAATGATTTACTCATTGATATTACAAACCAAGTTTATTATAACATATTACTTGGCTAAGTCTACAAACAAGCAATGATCAATGGTTTAAAATTTAATAACAATATGATGTAAGTACCTACTTAATTAGTAATTATTATTATACTTGTATAGGGTGAAGATTATTTTTTACCTTTGACTAAATTATTACCAATAAATATTATAAAAACATAGAATAAAATATGATTTACTTGTTGATTAAAACCATCATATAATGCATTGTTGTATTAATAATTATTTTAATTCGTTTAGTTTATATAAAGTAAAATAAAATAATAATTAACATTATTACATTGTACTGAACGCCAATACTAATTATAGAAAATTGATACAAAAATTATAAATTATGTAATACAATAGATATCTGGTATAAAGTATACAAAAAAAAAAAAAAAAATACAGGTTGTATATTTAGGTGGGTATTATATACATAACTATAGGACCTATTAATGTATAAAAGCTAAATATTTTAATTATTTGAAGTAAAATAAAATGATCATATTATTTTATCAAGATTAGAAAAAAAAATTGATTTTTAAAAGAAATTCAATACAAAAAGAATAATACAATAATAATAATAATGCTCTCCGAGGCCTATAATTTATTAAATAAAATAAAAATATATTATATATTAATACACGTCATCATAAAAAGTATCAAATATAATACCAACATAAGAACAAAATGCTTATTAATTTAACTCTTTTAAATTATGTAAAGTAAAATAAAATAATAATTCTTTACATTATTATATTATACTATTATTAATAATAAAAACCGATAAAAAAATAATATAGTATATATATACCTATAACAAAAATATAAGATATACCTACCCATTAAAGTACAAAAACTTAGTAATTAAAATTTAACAATAATTTTTTACATTATTATAATATGACATCAATATAAGAAATAAACATTTTTTTTTTTTTTTTTAAATAAAAATGTAATACAAAAAGAATACTGATATAATATATTGCTATACGCATAAATGTACAGCATAAATATTCAGCATAAATTTAAATGAAGGTACATATTAAAAGAAAAAAGCATATATAATCACAAATGTTACTATCTAAGTGCTAGAATAACAATGCCCGGATAATGTTAACTATTATACCAACTTTTCCCTCGGAAAACGGGCATTGTGCACAGTGGCCGGGCAATGCGCACAATGCCCAATTTCCTACTTTGCCAGTAACATATACAACTCAAGTCACGAAATCAAAATAAAATACACGACATTTGACTTATTATAAGTAAATTAAAAAACCTTTAAAGAAATTATAATTACGATTAAGTAATTAACCGTAGACCAGCAGAGTCCAGTGATAAAATATCTATGATCTATCAATACAATATCAAATATTTAAACATCTAATAATAGTTTATATGTTAATAAAATATTGACTAAAATAACCGACCAGTTTGTAAATATCAACTGTAGATTTTTATGGAAAGTACTTTCGATAAAAATTATAACATTATTTAATATTTTAATACCCATATGGGTAATATTATCAAACACGGCGTATAAAATAACTGGGAGGTTTATTAAATTAGTACAGATTTTTCATTACAATTATAAAACAATTATAATCAATTTATGTTTGGAAGGAAAATAAAATAATATTATTTTTATCAGAATTGTTTGATAAAATAAATGGTTCACCTTTTAGATTCTGAGTGGAACGATGAATGTATTGATTTTACAATAATGTGTGTTTTTTTATTTTTTTATTTTTGTGTCTGTGTACTCGATTAGTAGTCGAAATAATTTTTCGATTTTCAACTTCAGTATCTTTTTTGATAGGAAAGTGAATGTGGTTGGTACTTTTGGGAATTTAAAATTCCCAATAGTTTTTAAAAGAGCCCGGAAAAAACAATATAAAAATTAAGGAAAAACGGTCATTTTTACGGAAAATCGATTTTTCACAAAATCGACTTTGGTTTTTGGTGTAACTTTATAACAAATGACCGTAGATACATGAAATTTTAACTGGTTGTTTATATTTGAATTTTCTATACACGATATAATTTTCAAAACATTTTGATTTGTTTCGAACTGCTTAGGGATATTTTCAGTTTCCAATTTTATTAGTTTTTTTTTCTATGAATGTTAATAAAACTTTATTTGTTGATTAAAAATACTTGACAATTAGGCTTCTATTATATTGTTACAATGACATTTGAAAAATATTAAATATCCTAATACAAGATTCCTTATAAGATTATCTACCTTTATCAAAATAAAAATGTCTATAAGAAATTCAAATTAAATTTTTATGAGCGTTTGATATTCAAATTTTTACAACATTCGATACCCACTCAATTACAAATTTAGCGATTTTCTTATTTTGTTTTAATTAAAGAACGAATAACTGTAGATACGAGTACATGAAAATATCATTGAATGTTTATTTTATCAATTCTTATACTTGATAAAATTTCCAAAATATTTTGACTTATTTTGAGCTGTTTACGGACAATTTCATTTTTCTTTATTTTTTTTTTTCTATAAATATCAATAAAGTTTTATGTGTTGGGCCAAAAAGTGTAAAAATTGAATACAAGGCTCCTGATATATATTGTTACAATAGCAGTTGAAAAATCTAAAAAATACATAGACAGTTTATTTTTATAGTCATTTTAAGTTCAATTTAGAGGAAATTACATATTAAAAAACCTAGAATAACTATTTTAGATATTTTGTTATGATTGTATAATATTATTCATGGGTACTTGAAACTTCTAAAGTATACTATTATATATCTATGATAGTATTACGGTTTGTTGTTGATGTATAATGCGTTATAAGTACTGAATGGATATTCTGATATGATTAATTTGGAATTTAGTATAGGTTAGGTATATTAGGTTATATTAGGTTAGGTATATTATAAGTCAATTTTTTTTTAATACCATAGATAAGTATATAGTTTGTTTTATACCTAGACTGACATACCGTCTCCGCTCAGAATCGTTTTTCTTATACAATGATATTATAACATTGAATTCAAATTTAATACCATCCATTATACAGTGACTCACTTGTAACCTACTGTACAGCAGAGCGACATCCACTTGCCCACCTTTTTTTTAGCCAAAATCATTGTATGAACTTCATTCAGTGATACTGGATATTTGGGCATTATTTTCCTCTTACTATTGTAGACATAACGTTTTAAGCCAGAAATGTTCTTTGTGGTGCAAACATCAACTATTGAGATTTGTACTGCATTTCTTATAATTTTGGCTGGTTTTTCGTAGGGCGTTTATTGTGCCTTTGTTTTACACAATTGGTTTAATTTTTAACCCTTAACTTGGCAAGCATTAAAATATTAGAAGGAAAATTTTAAAGTAGATATTTTTAAACTAATTTAAGGTCGCTGAATTCAAAAATGTTGTCAAAAAAAATATTGGACTTGAAAGTTCAAAGTTATGAGTTGTATCTTAAAAGATACATTGCCATAAACCAATACTATTATTCATGTACCTATCTAAAAGGATACATTGCTAGAAATCATGTATAAAAAACCAAGTATAAAATTATCTAATTTTAACATAAAAGTACCTTTTATTATGTAAAATTTCAGTAACTTAAGACTTAAACTTTTAATATAACAATTCAGACTCATCTTATTTAAGAACAGTATTAATTATCACAGAAATTAGTTTTTAATTAATACTAACATAAGAATATTTAAAAATTAAAATTAAAATTAACAGTATGTAGCTATAAAAAATTACTATATCAAGTTCTTCTTGAAAAGTTAACAGTACAAATCATATAAAAATTTAAAAAATAACAGATATTATTCAGTTACAATTAATATTCAACAAATCAAAATTAAAGTTATTAACATAATATAGATAAAATAACCAATTTCTATAGCAATTTCTTTTTGCCTAATTAACACTTAAAATCAAATAAAAATTAAAATGTAATAACAAATTTTACTTTCCAGTCTTATATATACGAATACAAATTTATTTATTTTTGGTATGAAAATCATTAAAACAGTCTCTTTTTTTGAGTGTACATAAACGTGTATCACATTTTGTACAAATGTAGACTGTCTGACCTTTTTTACAATGTCGACATCGACCTTTTGATGTACGCGTTGGAAAATGATCAAATCTATCGAATTTTACATCACTGATAGGTCTAGGAATCACAGTTCGTCTGATTTTTTGAATATGTTCCATATGATTATTTTTATTAGGTTTTTTACCCACTTTAGGTTTTTCTTTTGCAGATAGTGCTATGGCCACATGTATTCGAAACTCTTTTAAGCGCATAATCTTTTTTTCTTTCAATTGGATACAGTCTCTTCGATAAGTCAACCAGGCATTATTGACACAAATGTCAAGTAATTGGGAAAATACAGCCATATACCATTTATGTGTTTTTAGTCCAGTTCTATATAACGCCACCAACATGTCAGATAAGTCAACACCACCCATGTGGGTATTATATTCCTCAACTATTTTTGGCATTGGTACATCAACTCTATTTTTTTTTTCTTTGGAATATCTTTTTATGGTCTTAATAGGGTCAGCAGATATATAAGAACTTATCAAACATACTGGTTTGTTATCTAACCATTTTAGAGTCAGAACTTTTTTTTTTCTGTCACACTTGTAGCTAAAACTGCCTCTTCCTTGTTTTTTTAATTCTTTTTCATTCAATAATGGACATTCTCGAAGTCAATTTTGTTGAACAGTTCCTAGACTCAATGTGCCATATTTTTCTCTCAAATAATAGACCAATTCAGGAGAGGTAAAAAAATTGTCAAAACAAACAACACTTAATATTTTGTCTGGTATTGTTGAAACTAGTGTAAGGATAACTTTTGGTCCAAGTCCAAAAAACTTGTTTTCATATTCACTAAAATGGTAATCATTAAATGTATTTTCTCCACAGTAAGGAAAAAAATCGTAAACTATACCATTAATACCAGAGCGAACAAACAATTTAAAGCCCCATTTCTTCGGTTTTGATTTAACGTATTGACGTCGAGAACCAGCTTTTTTCCCTTTATAAGGTACCATCATTTCATCTATTGAGAAACGCTTGCCTTGTTCTTGGTTCAAACAATTTCTACGAATAATGTCAATGATAGGTTTTACCTTATAAAATTGATCGTCTTCATTATACTCGTCGTTATTATTGAAATGTAAATTTTTAAGTATTTTTTGATATTTGTTGAGTGGCATAATGTTTGAAACTTTTTCATAACTCATTAGATTAGACCAGTAGTCAGTATAGGCTGGTAACTTAGCCACACCCATCCACAATTCTATACTTAAAAAATCCTGAAGTTCATTAACAGTTAAATTAATTGACCTACCACTTTTTGTTACTGAATAGAGATTTGTTTGTTCTACAATAACTTCAAATAAATCATCAGAAAAAAAACGTTTAAAATATTCAACAGGAGTCAGTACATGTTCTTGTTGTGTATAAAATTCATATTCATTAACATTAACTTCAAAGTTCATTTTTTTCCCATCTACCCATTTAAATTTTATATATTCAACTTTTCTATTTTTTTTCTTTTGGTTAGGAGTTATACTAACGTCCTCAACGTCAGGTGACATACTTGGTAATGGAATTGGAGGTGTTTTTAAATTTCTCAACAAACGTTTAGACCTTCTTGCAGATCCAGGTGATGTAACTGTTTTCCTACTAACTTGTGAAGATTTGTTAGACATAGTAGGAGTGGTAATCGGAATAAAAATCCCCCGGAAAAAAAATCCCCGGAAAAAAAATCCCCGACCCTAGGAAAAAAAATCCCCAGCTACAATATTCCTCACAATCACATGCAAATGGTTGAACAAATATATTTTGAACGTTAATTAGTATCTATAATTAATATTTAATGACAAATACGTATATTATATTCTATTATAATATAATATACTATATTATATTGTTAAAAAAATTATAAAAATATTTAGAATGATCGATACGTCAATTAATAATACAGTTTAACTTAGTAAAACATAGTATACAAAAATATTATACAAAATATAGGTACCTATATATTTTATGTTGGTATAATTCTGTAAAAATTGAATCCCCGAAATAAAATATTGCGTTTTCTGTGACATTTTGACGATAAGCGGTTTAGTATATACCTTTGATAATATATAATATAAGGTAAAAGGTTACACCTACCTATCTAATCTGTAATGGGCTCACGAACATAATTTGGATACTCGTTATCTTAGCTACAAATTTAGCTACAAATTTAGTATTACACGATACACAAGTACAAAACGACTACGCTAATACGCTATGGAAACGCTGGAAATTTTAAAAACTAATGGTAAAAAACCTAAAATTACGCACATCGGCTTTATTTATCATTTTCAAAAAGAGTGTTCAAATTTTTTACGTTGGCGATGTTCTAAATTTAGCTCTTTAAAATGTCCGAGTGTACTTAAGACTAGTTTAAATATTTAAAATCCAATATTTGTTGGTCTTGATCATGACCATGTACATGATTCTAATAAAAATGCAGTCGCTGCTTTAAAATTACAAAATACAACGAAGAAAAAAGCACAAATATCACATGCAACACCGAGTCAAATATTTGCTGAGTCTGTGAGTAATGTACCACATGCAATATTATTAGAATTGCCAAAAGAAGAACACGTAATTATAGATACTATAATTAACGTTTAAAAAATATTTGTTCAACCATTTGCATGAGGTTGTGAGTAATATTGTAGTTTGGGGATTTTTTTTCCTAGGGTCGGGGATTTTTTTTCCGGGGTTGTTCGTCGGGGGTTTTTTTTTCCGGGGATTTTTTTTCCGGGGGATTTTTATTCCGGGATTCAGTAGGAGTATGTGGCTAATTATTTACTGGTGTTTCTATTTCCAATACATCAGCAACAACATCATGACATGTGATAGAATGTACATTTTCAAAATCTCCTAAAAACTAAATATAAAATGTAAATCTAGCTATAGTATTTGGTACTGTATTACAATGTAAATAAAATAACCTCTTCTAATGGATTTAAGTCTATCTCTCTAAGAAGTTCATCTATATTATTCTATTTTATATCTATTTTATAATACTTATTGTATAAATTGAATATGTAATTTCTAAAATACTAGCATAATAAAGAAATCAAGCAATGTATCTTTTTGGATCCATATACAATAATCATTTTAAAAGATAATTCTAGCAATGTATCTTTTTGGATATATACTTTTAAAATTGATATAAAATAAGCATTATTGCATATATTATTAGAAACTTTACATAAAAATGATAATTATACTCACCTTAACTCAGTTGATGCGAAATAGACTCCAGTAACACATTAAAATTTGATAAAATTAGCAGTTGAAGTCAACGAGTTTGATCGGTTTTAAATTTCCAAAAAATGATAACAAAAAACAGTTATTATCAATCCCAATCATCATAGAAACGTTATCGTAGTGTACTCACGTGGGAGATATGACATTTATCAGAGTGTACAAATAATAAAAATAAAAATATTGTACATCGGATTCCGTACAAAAATTCACAAACTTTGTGTATCCAAAAAGATACAATACCAAGTTAAGGGTTAAATATAAAAGTTTTTCTCATCGTGATTGATGTGTGAACTTTCAACACGGATGATGGTCAATATTTTCATTTTCACCGCTCATAAACAATTATGCAGAACATTTTTTTCTTGTACAACGTCAACGAATTATGTTCGTATTGTTTGTCTTATATGCAAAATAAAAAGTATAACTATTGTACTCTAAAATATTTTCCCCACGGTTACTTTTTATTATTTTAACTTCCATCATGCGAAAAAACTTCTCCATACAAAAAAATGTTCTGCACGGGATGATAGTAACTATTACGATGAAACGGAAATACTAAAGTTAAAGTTAGTATTTGGTCGAATTAATAAATGTATGTACTCATATATAAGTCTGTTTATATAGTTTCTAAGTAAATGATTTGTACACTCTATTTTCTTTACACTCAAAGCCGGTCCATATGGCTTACATAAACTGACGTTTTTCATCACTAGGGCTCGGATTTATATGTAAATACATATTTTCTCTGCGACATGATAAACTAATTTCAGCAAGTGATAAATTTGTTTCACAAAGTTTTTGATAAACTTAGCTATATTTGATTTTACATATTTTTACATATTTCACAATTATTCAATTTTTTTTCACTTATTTAGACAATTTTACTGTTTTAACGTCTTTTCTTCAGAGTTCAGGTCCACCGGACGTATTTTTGACTTGGCTAAATATTAATAGTATTAAAACCTACACCCATTGATTTGAGTTTGTGGCCAGATTTCATAGACTGCGTTAATTATAGCTTTTTCAAAATCTGTCGTTTTTTTACTGCGGCAATAATGTTACCCCTAAAGAAGTAATATCAAACAAGATGTATGAATGTTTCGCTAGTTTCGGTAGTCTTGTTTGAATGTAAACAAAATATTAATGGAATATAGTTTCCGTTTTTAAGACCATGGATAGTGAATATTTGTGTAAAAAAACGAGCCGAATATTTAAATGTCCCGTCCATATATAATGTCTCGATTTCTTTTAAGAATAAAATGTTCGAGGTACATGAAAATATAATGATGTTTTCCTCTTTGTCATTCACAAGTAAAAAAGGCTCACTTTGTTTAGTTTTTAAGTGCATTTTTTCAACAATGAGTGAACTTTTCCTAAACACGCTGGCAATACTTAGCGCCGAACTTCATATATATTCTTTCTTATTCTTTTAATGCCTGTTGTAGTAAACTGTAAAGACTCAATATTTTCACCAACTTCTTTTGAGATGATTGTTTTCGGTCTAATTGAGGGAGCATCGACTGATTTTCCTTTACACGCTGAGTTAACAATTTTCCTCGATATTTTATTTTACAACATTTTATGCAACTTATACTTTTAATACCTAATTTTCAAAATTATAATTTCCATAATTTTACAAAAGTTACATACTTATTATTTTTTTTTTTTTTTACATATTATATGTTTATATAATTTTTTATTTTGGCCGAAAAGGGAAGGGTACGTTTTTGGTCGATAACGGTCTCGCCCGTTTAGAGGGACCATTGTGAACTGTAAAGGATGTTTGAAATTTGAATTCAATACTAAATCAGTACCTACATGTACGAAAAATTAGGTCTGTCAGCCTATATCAATAAGAATTATTTATGATATTATTGCTATTGAAGTAATTTATTTTACTATTTGTAATACAGTAGGTCGAGTTATTTTTGTCAAAAATATTGCAGTTTAAAATATCATTGTTTGTATAAAATATAATAATAATATAGGTACTTAAAAATTTTCAATTACCCACGGTGAATTATATTTTAAAATCACAATAGTTAAAAATTAACTAACAAAAATTGAAAATTACTTGTGTCTATAAATAGCTCAAAAAGAAACGAAATATTATTAAATTTCAACATCTGTGAAAAAATTTTATATACACATTACATATGGTTAAAAATCATGTAGGTATCCAATGTGTTTTTTTTTTATAATTTACACCAAAAAAACAAAATCAATTTTGTCAAAAGCTCCCATACTTCCTATATTTTTTTTTGTTTTTCCCGGTTTTTTTAAGCTACTGGTAATTTTCAATTTTCATCTCTTGAATGTAACAACTAAATTCACTTTTTCACCAGAAAAGTTCCTGAAATTTAAAATCGAAAAATTATTTCGAATACTTATTGTGTACACTGACACAAAAATATAAACATCATTGTAAAATTAAAAAAACATTCGTAATTCATCGTTCGCTTAGACTTCAAAATAAAATATAATATTATTTGTATCAATATTAATACAAATATTATGTGATATTGTGACTTACCCAAAAGTGTGCACGATATTTGTGTTGTAAGGAATCTAATATATTAGAAAAGCAAAATGTGTACAACATAATAATATCAACATTTTAATTTCAGAATTACACAGAATGTTGTGTACATAATAGTGCATAATATTATATGTACAATGTAGCCATGACCTATCACAAATAACCCCCATTCCATTACATGTATAACACATACTGCATAATTTATATTGTTTTTATTGTTATTAGGGTCAAAAACAGTGAATGCCTTCATCGTACTTTCAACGTCGATCCATTATATTTACAACATGAAAATTCGGGTGTGTAAAATAATTTGTTTTTCATATCACTCTAAATTAAATTACATAATATATACATATTATAATTATGCGTATCTAACATGTAGTTGTGGATGGGTACTGATTTTTTGTAAGTGCCTAAATATTTTAAAAAGGTCAATAAAATAAAGTCGGTCGCTTACGAATTTGTGATTTATCAATAAAAAAAAAAAATGGAGTGGTTTAGACAATCAATTTTTTTCTGTCTATCCATTAGTGTCGAGAGGTGAACGTCAAAATGCTCAATACGATTATATATTTTATTCATTTTTGTTTCTTAAATTATAATGCTTATTTCAATATTAAATAAATTTGGTTTTTACGGGGCAAGGGATGTGCATTGTACATCCCAATCCATCCCATGGTAGACCTATTTCTCATATTCAATAATTAGATAGGTACCTATATAAAACAATCTTTCACAAATGTTAAAAAATAAAATCTTAACTCACAATTATTATTTTTTAGGACTCGCTATCGACTATATGGTAAGTTTATTTCAATTTGAAAATTACTATTTAGTAAATGCTCTCAACAAAATTATATTTGTGTTTGAAGCACTGGCAAATACCATTGAGTAAACGATTTAGAGCGTTGAAACTGTGGTTTGTGATTCGCTGTTTTGGAATAAAAGGTCTTCAAAAACATATTAGAGGAGTGAGTACCTACCATGTTGTATCTATAAACAACTAAAAGAAATTTTAATTTTAAAGTAACCGAAGAAATAAGAATCATATACATAATAAATGTGTTGTATTTATAGGGTGTTCAGTTGGCAAACAAATTTGAACTTCTTGTGTTGAATGATAAAAGATTCGAAATACCTGCAGCTAGACACTTAGGCTTGGTCGTTTTTCGTCTGCGTGGAGAAAATCATCTAACTGAAAGACTGTTAAAGCGCTTAAATTCTAAAGGAAGAATTCATTGTGTTCCTGCATCACTTAAAGGTAATATTATATCGTCGTAAAATTTAAATATTTCTGATAGTGGATCTCAATTACAGTTTAATTAATTATTTTAATCTGTTTTTGAATTTTAAACAAAACTATTTTCTGAAGCCGTTTTAATAGAATGTACCTACTTATATTAGTGACATGACTATTGTGAAAACATTAATCCTGCATTAGTTCTTGAATTTCAAATTTAAATACAAAAATAATAAATATATTTTGTTTTTGTATTAACACTTTTTTAAAATGTACTTATTATGGTATGGAATATTGGAATAAAGCTATCCCTTACTAAAAAGGGACATATCAAGTCAAGTTAATATTTTTCTGTTTAACTTATAACTTTGACAATTACAAAGAGAAAAAAGTAACTTTTAACTCAAGTTAAAAGTATTTTAGATGAGGTATTTTGAGTGTAGTGAGGAAGCTAGTGGTTTTACAATAATGTTTATTTTTACTTTTTTTCTTCTTCTTCTTCTTCTTCCTTAGTGTTGGTCTTTAAGACCATACTGCTAAAGATACACTTTACCACCTATCCTTATACTCCACTGCTTCTCTCCAATTGGTACCAGACCCCATCCTTTCAACTTTTCATGACTTCATCATCTCATCTCAGCTTAGGTCTACCCATCGGTCTTCTTCCCATAGGGCAATCACCCGTTTGACTAAAGTGCCCTGTTTACGCCAAGTATGGCCTGCCCAACTTAGTCTTCGTTCGGAAAACTCTCTAACTATATTCGGCCTCTGGAAAAGTCTTTGGAGTTCCTCATTATGCAGTTTTTCCCATTCATTTGTTTGGCTATCGAAGACTGGGCAGTACATTTTTTTTCGAATATCATTAGTCTCGATTCTTCTGTTTTTCTCAACGCCCACGTTTCTGAGCCGTGTAGAACAATATTGGTCTTAATAGTGTCATATGCATATTTATTTTTAGGTTTTTGGATAGAACCTTCGATTTCAATACTTTTTCTAGTCCATAATATCCTTTATTAGCTTGTTGTGTCCTTGATGAAACCTCTGTCTTGACATCGTTGCCCTTTGTTATAATTTAAACTAGGTGTTAAAATTGTGATACTCTTTTGAAATTGTACTATTCTATTTCAATATATTGTTCTTGACAATTATTTCCTTTTCTTCGGCTAGCCACTAGGTACTCTGTTTTATCCTCATTAATGGTTAGGCCTACTTCTTCTGCTGTATTTATTAGTTTATTTCCTAAACGTTTTATCATTTCCAAATATTCTCGAAGGAGCGCCCTATTCTGAACGTCTGAACCATGGTACCGTTGGCGACGGCGTGGCAGTTTTCAAAAACTTCCTGATGAAAGGCGCCAACTTGGTGGGGTTGACTTTGTAGTTGGCAGCCAGGTATTTTTTGATGGCTAGCAAAGACGAAACTTTCTTCTCCTCGAGCTCTTTGATAGCTCTTTGACCATCACGGTGGTGGTCGGATGCAACGTGACGGTCTTCTTGACTTTGGAAGCCGTTAACTTCTTCTTGGTCGGAGACTTCTTCGCAGCCGGCGATGCGCCGACTGGAGCCGGAGTTGTAGTGACGGTGTCTGTCATTTTTCAAGTAGAAGTTCGAAACTATGGTTGATATGACTGCTTACTTCACTGATTTTTACTTTTTTTATCCCGTAAAATTAATGGTTACTTATTAATACATATTTATGATTCATACATTTTCTTTCGTCCACTCCGAATCGTTTTTTATCGAATGAAATTATTGCATTCGAATCAAATACTCGGAATATTGTAATAATACACTGTCCTGTTCGAGAAGCGAAGGTACGATGTAATAACTTCCATCGCCGCTGACCTACTCCACCCTACTGCACTTAATCACTTTTTATATTTTAATTTAACTTTATGAGTTAAAAATAATTAGGTAAATTCACCAGCTTTGGTAGTCGTATAAGTACTTTGTAATCGTTAATATACAAATATTAAATAAGTTTTTCTTTATAGGCAAATATGTTATACGTTTCACTGTAACGTCACAATATACTACAATTTCGGACATCACAAGAGATTGGGCTGAAATTAAAGCGACGGCTACTGAAATCATCAACGACGATAAAGCTGACACTACTTACAATAAATCAAAAGTTTCATTGGCCGGTAGGGTTTAATAATTAAATACATATTATATTATAATATAGTAGGTATACTGGGGGAAGACTGGCTGCAGTACAAAAAGTTCGACAACCTCATACACACAGTGGTGAAATGGGGTTGTTAAGGGAGGGAGGTAAGTATAAATTAAACCAAATTTTTACAGTTTTTGTGAGGGAAAACATTTCAATGGGAGGGGGGAGTAAAACTACGTTACTCCATACACATTTATATTTATGGCATACGGCATCTAATTATTTTCTAGTTCACGTCAGTTAGACACTAAAGATCTCTATCTAATATTCTAATGTCTAGTACTCTAGTAGAAATACAATAATTGTACATCCTGAAACCTGTACACAAAATAAAAAGTGTCTTTAGAATCATCGTGATATACGATTGGATAACAAAGTATACTGTGTAGAGTGTAGAGTCAACAATTAATCGAGCTCAAAAATGGGAAGGTCTTTTTTTTTATACCCACTTCCGAAATTCATATGAGAATTAAAGGCTCTGCTCAATAGTGCACACGCGACGAACTTAAAGCTGTTTAATACAGTAATATGTTTAAGGCGTTTAAGTTTACATTTAAAAATATAACCATTTTATTTGTTCGTTTTTTAATTATATTTTATAACAGATACACGTAATTGGAATAATAACTTCGGTGCTAGTCTACTACTAGCAAATTCACCTATGTCACCAAAAGTAGTAAACGGGAGCTTTGCCGCATTGTTTGATAACGGAGACGATTGGTCACGAAAACTTTTGAGAAGTGAAATGAAAGACAGCTCTTGTAAATATAGTATTACTGGTATCCTTAAAATAATTAGTGAGAACAATAATATTATTTTTAATTCATATTTTTAAAGCAATGAGAAGAAGAATTCGTGGGATTCTGATGTCGGGAAAACAGTTTTCTTTGGATTCACGTATGGATCTAGTCCAGGGAATGGTTCCAACTGCATCAAAAAAGGCAATCATGTCGGAGTGCACTACAAATCCTTCGGAAGAAACTTCAGGTGATGTCTAAATTAATTAATATTATGTATATATTACAAGTATATTTGAATCGTTTAAGACGTACCATTTTAAAAGCCAAACAAGAAGCTATTTAGATTTAGAACGTTTTAAATTTATGATTTATAGAAAATAAGAACACTGAGAGTGATGAAAAAGAGAAGAACGGAGAACCAAAAAATTCAAAATCTCGTATTTTTCGTCTTCCACAACATGAAACCAATCTAACTCCTTTGATTGAAGGCAATAACGCAGATCTTATAGATTAGTAAAATCATAATATTATGGTAAATTTTTAATTATTTATTTCTAGCTGTTCGTACTTTTTTTGGATAAATATCTTTCAAAAACACTTATATCTTTTTAAGAATAATAATATTTAAACATATTTTAGAATAATAGCATTGTTTATTGTACAATATTGTACATCTTATTCCATTTGTTACAAATTACATATAATATTACACATTTTTAAACTACCTATATTATTTAATTTAGTGGCTATCGAATTAGAATAGTAACTTTAAAATTGCTATTAATTAACTGCTTTCATTTCAATTTTGCTACCTAGGTATATTTTTTGCTTACGGTTTTCAGGTATTATGTAATTTAAAATCGAAATGATTTCAAATAAAAAAATTGAAAATAATTTTTTTATTTTACAATGAAAATACCACTATAATAATATTTATAGCTACTTACCTAAAATTATGAAAAATATTTTTTTTTTATTTTAACTTTAAATAATAACTATAACTATATTATATCCGTAAGACCGTAACTAATGTAATAATATACCTATAATACACGAACTAAGTAAGTTAATTTGTCTTAGGTATACAAAAGATTAGACAGTAGACACACGCGCACTTATATATATATATATATATATAGGTAATATATCTACAAAAAATGCATTAGTTATCACTTATTTTATAGAATTTAATATACAATGTTCAATATTATTATTATTTCAAAAGTAAACATATATTATATTACCTAGTACCTACATATTTACCACGATTTAAGATAATATGGTTGCACCACAGATTTCTATATAGTACTAATGTACTATAGATACTACTTCTATAGTTCTAAATAATGTAAGCACCCGTTAATTGGGGGAGATAGCGTTATGGGTCTATGCGGTCTGGTAGCTCAGTGGTAGAGTAATCACCCGGCAAGCGAGAGCCTAGGGTTCGATCGATTCCCTGTCCGGTGGCTGGATTTTTGACGTTATTTCCCCTGAAGAAGTTAACAATAGTACCTACTAGATAGCGAACTCCCACCATCAGTTGAAGCATGAAAGTTGGTTGGAATTGTATGGTATTTATATGGTAAATAAGATTAGTTATGATTTATTTTGTATTGTGTTCTATTATGTCAATACCTACCTGTTGTCTAAAAAAATAAAAATATTTTACATAAATCATTTTACATTTATTATTTTATTTTATCATTAAAACCGATGCTATTCCTAATACATTTTGTATAGTAAATGAAATGTATTGCAAACCGACAAAATGACAGCCGTCCACCTCATCAGCTTCGTGGATAACAATGTAAATTATTATATAGGAGTTCCTAATTTAGTCCAAAACATGGCTTTTCTTTCTCATATGCTCATATGTTATGTTTCATCTCTAAGTTATATCGTCTGGATTAACGAAGGGCAGGCTGTCCTTAAGTTTATATGTCTACGATAGAAGTCTGTGGGTTGCACATCCATTAGTGATAATAATAATCTGACCTACAGATTAAATCAATAGGTACCAATGTTAGATTTGCAGTTAACATTCCAAGCAGATACAATATTTAACTGTCATCATGGATCTAAATGCCAGGTGGTGCGCTTAATGGCTACATTTTTATATTATAGTCTATCTCTATAGTACCTTATCTAAAAACCTTGGGATGATGAGTCAAGAATCACAATTGAAGATAATATTTTTTCATTTCAATATTTCATGGAAATAAGAATATTATAATTTATAATATTTACAAAGTGTTTTTATTGTTGTGCAGTATGTAGTAAAAATATTGTTGTAATTTAGTTTTTATTTTGCATACCTAATGTAACTGTACTGACGCATGATCATGACTATATTGAATGAACATTATCAACCAACATATCTGTCTGATGTTCTGTATATTGAAATTTAATTTTGGTATTTATGTTTAAAAATCATTACACGTTTCAAAAAAAAACATTGGCCGAATCAGAAAATGTTGAGAAATATATTTCTAATGGTTTTAATGTTTGATTCGCTTGTTCCTAAAATATCTTTTGCGGGTCTTCAGTCTAATTCTTATAATCTTAAATAATTAATGTTTAACCTTATGATTTTAGTAAAATATATATATATATATATATAATTTTATATTCTACTGGATAGAAATACTTACTGGTGCTAATTTATAGAATACATTGAAAAAAAAATAGGTACCTAATGCTTCTAGGCCAAATTTAGGTTTTTTTAAGCACACCTAAAACAATATAGTTGCACATTTTATTTGCAAAAATAAAGAATTTAAAATATTAAATAGCTGTTTATTGGCTAAAACTCTGACCTGATATGCTTGTACCAATAATATCATCCTTTTGAAAATGGCGAGCACATACTCTCTAGAACAAGTTTTAAATTGTGTACCCAAAACTTTTTCCCAATGCAATTTTAAAGTATGTCTTTTTGGAACGCTGAATGAACTAAATTTAGTATAATTTTTTGGGACAGTTTGGTACACAGCATGACACTGTGAAAATCAATTTGGGTAATTTACACTAGTGGTCTATTATTACGGACTTCTGACTTGGACGCTAAATTAAATTATTTATACAAAGGCCAACAAGGTGGTCAAATGGAAAATGGTAAAAAAAACTCTGATTACTAGATGCGCTAGTAGTGAATCAAAATAGCTGATTTCTAAATTAAATTATGTTCCCACTATCGAGATAAAGAATAAATTGGAGCGATCACTCGTAAATAGAATACGATCCACCGTGATAAGAGTTACCCCTGCTCCATAAGGGAAAAACATTAGTTTGCACATACTGGTGAGTGGAGAACAAATTATATTATATTATTTTAAAATAATTAAATAATTATTTTAACTAGTACTTTTACGTAATACTCAGCAATCCATCAACTATTAGTATAATATATTCACTTTTAATATTTTTTCGTTATACCCAATTATAGAGTAAAATGGTGAATTCAAGCTCTCCGTTTGGATGTAGGTACTAACATATATCCAAAAGGTTGTATAATATATTTCTGAAAACATTAATACATTTGAAGAAACTTCTAAAAATCTTAAAAGTTTAAAAACACAAGATGTACCAACTATTGGTAGACAAATGTTTTTATTATTATTATGGAAAGTACGTTAAATATAGCATACCAATTATCTACTTAACAAATCCCAAACCCTATTACAATTTGTATTAACTAAAATGTCTCAAAACCACATAGAAATTTGTTTGGTTGTCTAAGAGCTAGACGTGGCTCAAACAACAACGCTAATTCAGTGTTATTTAAAAATACCTTAAGACAATTATTTTTTACTAAAAATGTTACTGTTGAAAGTGGAAATTGTTCCAACTTAGATTCACCCGGAGGTGATATTATAGATTTCCGATCAGAAAAACCTATTCTTAGTAGGTAATACTAGGTAAATTAAAAAGTATTTATTGTTAAGGTTTAATACATTGTTAAATTAAGTATTCAAAATTGGTCTTAAATATTATTCCTATAAATAATGTTTCATGTTTATTATTTACATAGTTTAAAATTGAAAGTGCATAAGTTTAATTTATTTAATAGTAATATGAGATAAATCCTAATTATAAATATTAATGCACTCTACTATAGGTATGTTTATGATTATGACATTATGAGTTTGATGAAACATTAGGTACAACAGGAATTATAGGATCATAATTCATCGTCTTCTTCTAGTTTTTTAGGAACATTAAAAGTTTTGTTATTCTTAAAAATACTGAACATATTATTTACATATTTCAGTATTTCACAATATAACAATCCAACACAAATGTAGTTCGATTGGTTAAAAGTAAAAACACTTAAGGGGTTTGATATAACTGACTAGACTATAATCATTTTTTTTTTTTTTTTTAAATTTATTTGACTTTATTATGAAAAATTACAATCTATACATCGAGTACAATAAGTAATATAAATATTTTACAGATAGTTCACAGGTTAAATTATTTACATGAAGGGGAAATCACACATTTGTCGTCAAGTCTACTTGAAATCGACTTTCCCACATGTTTAATATTATCCCCCAAATTCCCAAAAATGTCATATTAAAAAAGAGTATTTAAAAATTGTCGTATTTCTATTTTTGAAGAAGTTAAAATCAAAACTTCAAAAATTTGTGGAAATCGATTTCAAGTAGACTTGACGACAAATTGAAATCTGTTTTCAGATTTCTTATCGCTTCAATAGATCAATTGAAATGTTTGGCAAAAAAACACGTCTAAAATACTATGTCCCGTGTGTGTTAGACAAAAACAGAAAATCACGGTATCGATATCGAATCCCCTTAACAGTTAACACGTATATTTGAAAATAAATGATAAAATGTACCTTATTAGTAATTACTCTATATATATTATTTTACAATCTATGATTATATGATTATATTCTAGTCCGTTATATCTTAGTCCTCCGTGGATATTTCTAAGGAGGATAATATCGTGGATAATTAATAAGTAATAACTAATACAAGTTTTTTGATAATAGTCAAAAATAATTTACAACATTTACCGATTTACGGTGAAATACTGATATATCAGATAACATTAGACAACACCACAACTATAGTTATTCAATTGTTGGGGTTGGGCCGGTTTGGAACTGTTGGAGGATACACATTATAGCTCCATCAAACATATTTTAGTATATGGTTTCATAGGGGTAGGGAGGATATATGCTTTTGATAATTGTTCTAATAATAATTAATACAATTATTACTTTACTATCAAAATAATGAAAATGTTTATTTTTAAAAACTGTCAACTAATATGGTAAATTTATTTATTTAAAATATTGTAAGCGTTATCCTGTTTAGTATAAATCCGTAAAGAATCTAGTGGATTTCATTTATTAGATATTATATTTCTAAATATTATGGCATAGTATTACTTAATCTATAAGATTATTATAGTTTAAATGAATCAAATTCTAGGGGAGCTAAGCTCACACAGTCCCTCCTCAAATACGAACATTTTATGAAATACGTT